GTCCCTGACCGGAATCGAACCCAGGACCCTTGAGTCCGCAGGCCGACGCTCCATCCACTGAGCCAAACCGGTTTCGGCAGAATATATTTTTAATTAGATATGACATACAGATTAGTTTCTTAGACTTCTACTTACTGATAGAGGTAATGTGTAAATGACATTGGTCTTACATTGGTGTATTACTCTTTCTCATTCATTCAGTCAGAGACATTTTTGAAGAAATGTTACAGATCATCCTATATAATAAAAGCCTAATATGCAAATAGACTGAACAGTGCAATGACCAGTCGGTGGAAGGGGCCCAGGCCAGCGAGCAGACGAGCAGACGGCACCAGACCAGCCAAGCCAGGTGCCAGCAGGTAGAGGGAGGGGACAGTGATTGGGGAGCAGCAACCAGTGGTGGCGGAGGAGTGATCGGGGGGAGGAGCAGTGCCAGCCACCTGCTGGCCGGCGCTGTCCCTTGATCAGCCCACCAGTCGCCTCCCACAGAGGGAGGCCACTGGAAGAGGCCATCGGAGGAGGCAGCAGGGCAGCGGGGGGCAGGGCCAGCCGCTTGCCAGCCAGCTCTGTCCCCCGATTGGCCCACCGGTCACCTGCAGAGGGAGGCCAGACTTGGCTTAAGCTGTCAGTCGGACATCTCCCAAGGGATCCCAGACTGCTAGAGGTCACAGGCCAGGCTGAGGGACACACCCACTCCCTGAGTACACAAATTTTCATGCACCAGGCCTCTAGTCATACCATAATTAGCATATTGAAGTATACAAAGGTAACATTACTAATCTTCTTCTATATATACCATCTTCCAAGAAAAATACACATATATTGTCAATGTAAGAAACATCTATACCTAGAGAATTTTTATGAGTTCATTTGAGCCAAACTGACAACAACTCCTGGGGAGAAAAATCTCAACAAATTGAGAATATGCTCTAGAGAATGTCAATTTTGCAGCTTATTTTATATATTAGAATCAAAGGAGGTGAGGTAAGAAGGTTTAATCTCTCTTGGTGGGAGATTAAGAAGGTGGGAGAAAGCAAAATGGGGAAATCTCTGGGATTGGATAAAAAATAAAATGGAGAGATACTTCTTTTACATTGGTGGGTACAGAATGGTTAATAATGAACATTTATAGCACAAGGAGTTGGTATTTGGGGGACAAGATAACAATGAGGGATTCTGTGTCCTGGTTTTCTGGTGGTGGGTGTTCCTTGAGGGGTCTGGAAAAGGAGAGTACTCTGACATTTCAAAGGTATGTTATCTTAGATGCAAAAAGACAATAGACAGACTCAAGGTAAAGACAGGCCTTTGTTAAGGAAGCTACAGGCCTAGGTGTGACTACCTGTTTAACCCTTTCAGTTAGAGATTTTTATGTTCAGATCATCTCATGGGGTTACTTTTAGTCTCTGAGTTTGTAAGGCCCACCATGCAGGCCTCCTCTGAGCTTGTCAGGATTAGTATGTGACCCCTTTTTAATCCATAATATGAATTGTCTTATAATTATTTAATAGTAAAATATTAATAAGTACTGTGGGATCTAAAAAAAAATAATACTTTTCCTCCCACCTTCTAAATTCTTCAAACTGGGCTAATAATCAAATTAACGGAGACAGATTAATAGGAGAAAAATCAAATTTTTAATACATGCTCATGGGGAATTCACACAGTCATGAAAATTCTAGCAAAGCAAATTTAAAAGAGTTTATATGATCAATTGCTATACTTGTTGAAGTTATACAAATAATCAGGCCAAATTCATTGAAACTAGACTTATGCAGTAAATTAGTCTTAATTTGGCTATCATTGAGAAAAATGAGGGTGATTTTAGAAAGAAAAATTGTGTTTCAATAGAATCTTTAATATACCGTTGTGGACATTAGATTCTAGTTTAGTTAGTTGTGTTTAAAGTTTTATTTTTATTTATTTTTAAAATATATTTTATTGATTTTTTACAGAGAGGAGGGGAGAGGGTTAGAGAGTTAGAAACATCGATGAGAGAGAAACATCGATCAGCTGCCTACTGTACATTCCCTACTGGGGATGTGCCAGCAACCAAGGTACATGCCCTTGACCGGAATCGAACCTGGGACTCTTCAGTCCACAGGCTGACGCTCTATCCACTGAGCCAAACCGGTTAAGGCTAAAATTTTATTTTTCACCTGTAAACTGAACTGGGTCATGAATTTTTCTTGTTTTCTTAGATATTTGACTACAACTCTCTGAACCAGCAATTTTCAATCAGTGTGCCGAAAGAATTTTTTAAAAATGCAATATCTGACTATTTAGTCAGGAGCACTGACTGACCTCTTTTCCCTTTGATTGTTAAATAAAAAAAATGACAACAGGCAACACAACAATAGCTATCCGGTGTCAGTAAATCAAAAGTATACCTCCCCCCCCCCTCAGATTAGCAAAATATATAATATAATATTGGTGTGCCACAGAATTTTAGTAAGTAGTTTATGTGTGCCATGAGATTACAAAGATTGAAAAGCGCTTCTCTGACCTAATGGTTTCAGTTTTCTCCCATCCTTGGAAATATTGAGAATTAAAACTGTATTTTTTCTGAAACTTACAATTACAATCCACAGCTGGAAGACATGATGCAAACTTCAGACATCATCACAACAGCTCATGCTTAAACAATCTCAGTGACTGATGCTATGTAAGCCAAGCAAAGTTTACCTGAGCACCTGATGGCATCATCAGAGACATTCAAACCACAGGCCAGGAGTATCTATCAGCTTGTCACTGCCTGCCCACATTTTCCACCAACTGAAGGGAACCAAAGTTTTACCCCCTGAATCCGCCTTTTGGGATGTTGATTTTAAACTGGTAATTAAGAAACAAAAGACTCAGAAAGAACCTTGGACCCTCCCCCTCTTTCCTGCTCAAGAAAAATCTGCTTCAGGAAGGATATTGCATTAGCCTAAATAGCTTAATTTGAAGTATGTATGGTAGATGGGGCTTCAGTCAGAGGCCTGTTAGGTTGATAACCCCTGTGTCCCAATGCTTCTTAGTTGCCGAGCAAGGATTTTTCTGCTGTGTGTGTTCTGCTCTTCCTCAACTGCCTGTAAATCACCCAGTTCTCACTTCTGAAATCCTAAGACCCTATTTCCTTTGCTCAAAATGTCTTATATATCCAATGCTGCCTCATTGGAATTTCATGCTCATGTGAATTTCCCTTGTGTATGTATTAAAATTTTATTTTCTCGCCGAGGCCGGTTTGGCTCAGTGGATAGAGTGTCGGCCTGCGGACTGAAGGGTCCCGGGTTCGATTCCGGTAGGGGGCATGTACCTGGGTTGCGGGCACATCCCCAGTAGGAGGTGTGCAGGAGGCGGCTGATCGATGTTTCTCTCCCATCGATGTTTCTAACTCTCTATCTCTCTCTCCCTTCCTCTCTGTAAAAAATCAATAAAATATATTTAAAAAAAAAAAAATTTTATTTTCTCTGTTATTTCTCTGTTTATTTCTCTGTTAATTTCTCTGTTTATTTCTCTGTTATTTCTCTGTTTATTTCTCTGTTAATTTAATTATTAGTCCAGCTGGAAGAATTTAGATGATGGGAGGAAATGCATTAATTACTTTTAGCTCACACAGTGCTTATTAGATACTAGGGGCCCGTGCATGAATTCCTGCACCTTGAAAGGCACTGTGGGCCTCAAGGCTGCAGTGAGCACAGGGGCCGGTCTTGGCGCATCCTCCACGTCCCCACCCGGCCCCTACCCTGTCTACCGGCAGCCCTGCTTCCAACGCTGCCGCTCCCATGCACTGATGGTGCCAGCCCCACTCGCACCCGCTGCCAGCACTGAGTGATCGTGACCCGTGCCGGGCCCCAGCAGCGGGTGCGAGCACTCGGTGGGACTGGGACCGTGAAGCATGGGTTAATTTTCAGTAACCACTAGAGGCTCACCCCAATGACAGTGATCGGCGCCCTGCCTTGGTCTGGCACCCCTGCTCACCTGCTCCACCATCCTGCCACAGCCAGTGCCCACCATGTTCCATGCTCTGCTGTCTGCTGCCGATGCCTGCCATGTTCCGCGCGTGCCCCTTGGTGGTCAGCATACATCATAGTGACCAGTTGTTTGGTTGTTCAGTTGTTCCACTGTTGGGTCCATTTGCATATTAGGGTTTTATATAGAGAGATTATATATATTACAAATGGTGAGATTTTAGAAGATTCTTTTTTTAAATATCTTTTATTGATTTTTTTACAGAGAGGAAGGGAGAGGGATAGTCAGAAACATTGATAAGAGAGAAACATCGATCAGCTGCCTCTTGCACACCTCCCACTAGGGATGTGCCCGCAACCAAGGTACACGCCCTTGACCGGAATTGAACCTGGGACCTTTTAGTCCGCAGGCCAACGCTCTATCCACTGAGCCAAACTGGTTAGGGCAGAAGATTCTTTTTTTTTTTTTAAGATTTTGTTTTTATTTATTTATTTATTTGGTTAATTCTCACCCAAGGATATTTTTTCCATTGATTTTTAGAGAGCGTGGGAGGGGGAGGGAGTAAGAGAGAGAAACATCAAAGTGAGAAAGACACATTGATTGGTAACTTGCTTGGACCAGGCCAGGGATAAACCTGCAACCCAGATATGTGCCCTTGACCAAGAATCAAACCTGCAACACTTTGGTCCAAGGGCCAATGCTCTACCATTGACCCACACTAGCCAGGGCTAGAAGAGTCTTGAAAGATGTTTAGAAGCAGCATTACAAATAGCTGGTGCTGAGCCATGACAAAATTTTCACTGCTCTTTTTCTTAGGAAAAATTGTTTGTTTTTTAAAATTGTCATTTTCTTAGTGTTAAAATATATTTTTATGAAATGATGGTTATGAAATGTGGTAATTGTTTTCTTTTTTTAAAATATATTTTATTGATTTTAGACAGGAAGGGAGAGGGAGATAGAAACATCAATGATGAGAGAGAATCATTGATTGGCTGCCTCCTGCACGTCCCCTACTGGGGATCGAACCCACAATCCAGGCATGTGCCCTTGGTCGAAATCAAACCTGAGATCCTTCAGTCCGCAGGCCAAAGCTCTGTCCATTGACCCAGAGCAGCTAAGGCTGGTAATTGTTTTCTTTCTCTAGATGTCCTTATTTGGACAAATGAAAAATTGGCATACTTTTTTAAAATCCAAAATGTGTTTATTGGGATGGTTTCCCACTCATCTTGATTTGAGGTACTTTTGGTGCTGCTTCCTTCTGAAGGAGCGTTCTTCTGTAAGCCTTGCTTTTCCTCCTGTTGGCTGACAGAGAACCATGGAGCAACCAACACACAAAACTACCGTTGGTGCATGGCTAAAGATGGTGGTGATTTTATAGCATCCTGGGCATTTTACATCCATGAAATAGGAATTGGGGCTCTGCACCAGGCACTTCTTGTGTTTCCTCTTCTCCTCTTCTGGAGGGGGATGGAGGAGATACTTAGCGAGAGGCATATTGTCCTGGGGAGGGCGTCACTGCCAGAAAGTGGCATACTTTTTTTGGTCCCAAATATGTTGACATTTCACTGGTCTGTGAAATCCCAAAGTTTCCCAAATGGATTTGACATGGATTTATTTTTCTAAGGGAGTTGTTGCAAGTACAAGGAAGTGTTATCTCCAACAATACTGTGGCTTAAAGAACAAAGGATTTATTTCTCTCTTACACAATAGATCTGAGGTGGGTAGGCCAAGTCAGAGCACAGTTTTACTCCATATAGTCATCCAGGACTTCACTTTCTTCCATGGTGTTATTCCAACATGCTCAGAGCCTTGACGTTGCATTAGGGTGTGTTGGCTTGGGTTTCAGCTGGCAGGAACAGAAAGAAGTAATAACATTTTAAGACCTAAACCAGGAAATAGCACATGCACTTTGGCTCTAATTCTGTCAATGAGAACATGGCCAAATTCAATTACAAAGTGGGAAATGTAATATTGGTGTGTGTCCTGAAAGAAAAGAAAAAGGTATTTTGGTGGAACATTAACAGTCTGGACCACATATCCCATTTAAAGGTAGTTGTTTGCACCCTAGCTGGTTTGGCTCAGAGAATAGAGCGTCGGCCTTCTGACTAAAGGGTGTCCCAGGTTCAATTTCAGCCAAGGGCACATGCCTGGGTTGTGAGTTAGATCCCTCCCAGTAAGGGCCGTGCAGGAGGCAGCCAACTAATGATTCTATCTCATCATTCTATCTCTCTCTTTTCCTCTTTGAAATCAATAAAAATATGTGACCATTCTACACTGTGAGTAGACACGAGATTTTGCTGTGATGTTGCTAATGTTTTGAACTATGTTTAGCCTCCAGCTCTCTTACTATAACTTAAGGTCACTTTTAATATCAGATTTAAAACAAAAATAAAATAATTTAAAAATAATCAGAACAGGGATTTCCAAGGAATGACTTCAGTTAGCCCTTGACTTATTTTGCATGCCTTTTTAAAAGGTAGGATTATTATTACTATTATTTTAATATATATTTATTGATTTCAAAGCGAAAGGGAGAGAGACAGAAACATTAATGATGAGAATCATTGATTGGCTGCCTCCTATGCACCCCACACTGGAGATTGAGCCCGCAACCAGGGCATGTGCCCCAGGAATCGAACCGTGACCTCCTGGTTCATAGGTCCATGTTCAACCACTCAGCTATGCTGACCAGGCTATTGTTATTTTTAATCCTCACCTGAGGACATGTTTAGAGAGAGGAAGGGAGAGAGAAACATTGATGTGAGAGAGAAACATTGATTTGGTTGTCTTCTGCACATGCCCCTACTGGGGATCAAACCCGAGACCCAGGTATGTGCCCTTACCAGAATCAAACCAGCAACCTTTCAGTGCACAGGATTATTGTCAACCAACTGAGCCACTTTGACCAGGCTAAAGATAGGATTTTTAAATTAAAGTTTAACATATATTCACAAACCATAAGTATACATTTTACAAAGTGAGCATACAGATGTAACCTCCACCAGCTTATGACAAAGAGCAATATGAGCATCCCAGAAGTCTCCATGTCTCTCCTCAGTAATTCTACCACCCCACCCAACCCACCCAGTAATTATATCTCTTCACCCCACCCTACAAAGATAACCTTTATCCAGAGCTCCATCAGCATATATTACTTTTGTCTATTTCTGAACATTATCTAAATGAAATTATGAATATGTATTTATTTCTGGCTGGCTTTTTGCTCAATATTTGTGAATTATCAATATTGCTGTATGCAACAATAGTTTGTTCTAATTTCTGTGTAGTACTCCATTATTTGGGTGTATTAGTCAGGGTTCTCTGAGAAACAGAACCAATAGGCCAGTGGTCAGCAAACCGCGGCTCGTGAGCCATATGCGGCTCTTTGGCCCCTTGAGTGTGGCTCTTCCACAAAATACCACGTGCGGGCGCACATACAGTGCGGTTGAAACTTTGTGGCCCATGCGCAGAAGTCGGTTTTGGGCCTAGGCGAGTCTATTTTGAAGAAGTGGCATTAGAAGAAGTAGGAGGTGTCGGTTGGTTGGGCGACGGGAGATGCGGCACAGGCGAGCCACAGGATACGAAGCGCGGGGGAGGTGCGCGCGATTCATGCACCAGTTGAGTGAGCCAGTCAGTCAGCAGTCTCATTGTGCAGTGGTTAGTGCTAGTCGCATCCGCAAATCGCACGCGAGTGCGTACAAAAGTACCTACTCAAAGCATAAAGTTACCTGTATTTTTCCAACCAGCTGCAAATCCTACAGGTATTTTTGTCATCAATTTAAGAATTGTTATTATTTTGTGTTGGTGGCTTTATTATCATAAAACTAGAGGCCGGTGCACAAAAATCTGTGCACTGGTGTTGGGGGGGTGGGGGGTGTCCTTCAGCCCCACTTGTGCCCTCTCACAGTCTGGGACCCCTTGGGAGATAACCACCTGCTGGCTTAGGCCCACTCCCCAGGTGGCAGATGGCAGGCCTGATCCCTTGGTGCCTGCCCCGCCTCCTCGGGTCGTGCACAGGGCAGGGCCGATCCGGGGTTTGGGTCGCCGCCCCGGGTGGGTCGCACACGGGACGCTCAGGCGAGCCGGCCGATTGCTGCTGCTCTGCCCGGCCGCCCGGGTCGGGTCGCACACGGACGCCCACCGCCCCAGGTCGCAGATAGCAGGCCCGGATGGCGGCAGGGCAGGCGGGATGGCGCTGTCCTGCCCTGCCTGCAGTATGCAAATTAGCCGCCATCTTTGTTGGCGGTTAATTTGCATATTGTGCTGATTAGCCAATGGGAGGCGTAGCAAAAGGTATGGTCAATTACCATGTTTGTCTATTATTAGATAGGATGAAACATTTTTTTAGGTGCCCTGTTTGACATGGCTACAAAGAAGAAGGAAAGAAAAACGGAAGGCGAAAACCGTGAATTTAAAGTTGAATGGGCTGAGACTTTTGCATTTATTCAAAACTTAAATGGCCTTCCAACCTGTCTTATTTGTCAGGAAAAATTGGTGCATAACAAGAAATCGAATTTGGAGAGTCACTTTACAACTAAACACGTGTCATTTAGTACTAAATATCCTGTCAGTGATGCAAGGAAGAAAGCAGTTGAGGAACTTCAGAAGAGTCAAGAAAAATCAAGTTCTGTATTTAATTACTGGATGCAATCTTCCAACAATGTTAATATTGCAAGTTTTGTGGTTAGTCAAGAGATTGCTAAGAGAGGAAAACCATATATGGACGGCGAATACATAAAAAGTTGTTATATAAATGCATCCAAAGAGCTATTTCGGGATTTTAAGAACAAAACAGATATTCTAAAAAAAATTAAAGTGTTACCATTGTCTGCTAAAACAGTGAGAGATAGAACAGTCAAAATGTCTTCGAATATAACCAGCAAGTCGAAGATCTTAAATTGGTTTCAGCTTTATCAATAGCAGTTGACGAGACTTGTGACATAAATGATACAGTGCAAATTTCACTTTTTGTATGATTTATTTCATCTACAGGTCCTAACGAAGAACTTTTAGGATTATTGTCACTCAAAGGTCAAACACGTGGAGAGGATATAGCAAATGTTGTAATTGAGTGCATTGAAAAACATCATATTCCACTCGATAAAATTGTCTCAATTTCAACAGACACGTCGAAAAGTATGATCGGCATAAGAAACGGGTTTGTTGCTATTTTGAAAGAAAAAATTAACCACGAGATACTTACCATTGCATCATTCATCAAGAAGCACTTTGTGCGCAGACATTTCCAGAGGAAATTTGCAAAGTTATGGAATTGGTGATTAAGATTATCAACTCCATTATAGCTAAAGCTCTTAATCATTGCCAATTTAAAGAATTTTGAGGTGAAATGGAGAGTGAGTACGCAGATCTTCTGCTGCATAGCAAGGTATGTTGGTTATCAAGAGGAAACGTTTTGAAACGTTTCGCTTCCTTATTATCAGAAATTAAAGCATTTCTCCTTGAGAAGGGTGTTCACTATCCAGAACTAACGAACGATCAGTGGATCCAAAAATTTTATTTCATGGTAGACGTTACGTCTCATCTAAATCAGCTTAATCGTAAACTACAGGGGAAAGGAAACACGGTTTTTTTGATGTTAGAAGAAGTTATTTCATTCGAAAACAAATTATCTTTTTGTTCAAGATTTTGAAAGAGAAACTTTGATTCACTTTCCAAGCCTGTTGAAATATCGCCAAGAAAATAACTCTGATATTGGCATTTGCTATTTCAAAACAACACTTTTAAATATGAGGGAAGCTTTTCTCAACAGGTTTCAGGAATTCAGAAACAGCAAAGCGACATTAGCCTTTGTTAAAAAACCTCTCAATGCTACTGTAACAGAATTAAATTTTTCTCCCTTTAATATTGACATTGCCAACTTTGAAATGCAATTGTTGGATTTAAAAAACAAAGGACTGCTGAAACCGGTTTGGCTCAGTGGATAGGGCGTCGGCCTGCGGACTGAGGGGTCCCAGGTTCGATTCCGGTCAAGGGCATGTGCCTGGGTTGTGGGCACATCCCCAGTGGGAGATGTGCAGGAGGCGGCTGATTGATGTTTCTCTCCCATCGATGTTTCTAACTCTCTATCTCTCTCCCTTCCTCTCTGTAAAAAATCAATAAAATATATTTAAAAAAAACCAAAGAACTCTGGAGCTCAAAATTGGAACGTCTTTGTGCTGATATAGAAATATTGAAGAGCCGAAACCGGTTTGGCTCAGTGGATAGAGCATTGGCCTGCGGACTGAGGGTTCCCATGTTCGATTCCGGTCAAGGGCATGTACCTGGGCTGCGGGCACATCCCCAGTGGGAGATGTGCAGGAGGCGGCTGATCGATGTTTCTAACTCTCTATCTCTCTCCCTTCCTCTCTGTAAAAAATCAATAAAATATATTTTTTAAAAAAAGAAATATTGAAGAAAAACAAATGTGAACTTAGTTCACAGCACAAGTGGTCTGCTTTGAAAGACCTGGAGAAAGAAGATACGTTGATTTTTAGCACCTGGAATAGTATTCCTGACTCACATAATCAACTGAAAAAACTAGCGTTTGCTGTTCTTTCCTTATTCGGGTCTACATATTTATGCGAACAATCATTTTCAAGCATGAACCTTATCAAGAGTAAATTGAGAAGTCGTCTTATTGATGAGAACCTGGAACTGTGCCTAAAATTAGAAACAACAATATACAAACCTGACTTACCCAAACTTTCCAAGGAGATGCAAGGCCATTGTTCACATTAGTGTTTGTCAGTCATTGTCATGATTTAATTTTATGGATATTGTAAGGTAAATTGTAAGGAATTTAATTTTATCAATAAATAACATCGTTATTAAGTATGATATCAAGTTTTATTCAACATACCTATAGTTTAACTAAGACTTAAATCTTTAAGTAAAGTTTATTAAGTTAATTTTAGGGAACATTGTGGAGTGAAAGAAGATGTAGTGTCGAGGATTGAGAAAGGTACGTTGAGATGGTTTGGACATATAGAGAGGATGAACGAAAGGAGATAGACGAAACAAGTATACAAGACGAGT